GAGTTGATTTGCATATTGAATTGCGTGTGTGCATACTGAATTATGAGTGTCTTGCATCTGTTTAGCCATCTAGTCGGGCTAGATTTAATGTTTTGCAGAAAAAACAAGGCTTTGAGTGCTAAATGTGTGTGTGCAGAGCCGTTTGTCACTAGAAAATGTTTCACACGGGTATATTTTCAATTATTGAGTGTCAATTATAGAGTGTCAATTATTCAGATGACGCGACAATAATGCCAGCATTTTTTTTTTTCACAATAATGCCAAAGTACGACCCATTGGACAGACTGTTTATGTGAAATATTAAATATGGCGTCTATCGTGGTGGGAGTCGCTGCAAAGATGGTACTGCGCATGCGTATAGGCCTAATTCTTGTTGACAGCCAAGGAAAATCAAGAAAGGTGCCATTCTTTTAAACGAATCTTTTTAGTGAATCGGTCGAACGGATAGCCTATTGCACATAGCTACGAGAGTAAATCAACATCGTTAACATTACTACTATAACCGGTATTAATAATTAACATTATTATTAGTGCTGTCAAACGATTAATCGCATACAAAATAAACGTTTTTGTTTGCATAATATGTGTGTTCTGTGTATATTTATTATGTATATATAAATACACATACATACAGTATATATTTTGAAAATATTTACATGTCTATTTATATTCATATAATTTATATAATAAATATATTTAATATATAAACAACATTTTTCTTAAATATATACATGCATGTGTGTGTATTTATATACAGTATACATCATAAATATACACCGTACACACACATATATTATGCAAACAAAAACTTTTATTTTACATACGATTAATCGCGATTAATCTTTTGACAGCACTAATTATTATGTAAGAAAAAACATGTGTATAAACAATTTCGCTCAGAAATCGCTAAATTTAACAATTTGCTGAAATAGTTTTTCACGTTTAAGCATCTTATGGCGACATTCACCACGATAGACACCCTAGTTAAATTTTTAATTTTCACTTTTTTTTTTTTTTCGGTAAAACGTTTTTTTTACAATTTTGGTATTTTAAAAGTTTT